AAACTCAATCACGGATATTTAACAAATGGTTTATTACAACTAAATTTTATATGTATTACGATTTCATCACTTTTCATACGATAATTTGAAATGTTATTGAGGATTTTAGACTTTAACCCATAGTTGGGCTCTGAATCGCAACTGAATTATTTTACTTAATGTTGATTTTTACCAAATTGATAAATGAAAGTTAACTTTCCTTTAAAGCATTTAAGAAATAATGAACTAATGGAGAATTACATAAATTTTCAAATAAATGCTTTGATATATATTAAACAATTATTGGGACCACCGCAGCGGTCCGAATAATCCATTTAAGGGTTAATAAGTATCTTGCTTCAGTGTTGTAGAATCTCTTGAATAAACAACGTTTGACTCTCGTATACATATATCATAAATGTTTGCAAATACTTTGCGAAAAAATAAGGTATGTATTTTCGAAAGTAAAATACGACAATATTCATTTTACAATTCGTAAAGATTAAAAATGAGTACACTGATATTTAGTTTTGATATTTCCTTATGCTTATTTATTTGTTTGATTTTTTCTTATTTTAGAAAATGTGTTTATGTTATCTTAATATACGACATATCGTTCTTTTGTTTAAATTTTATACGTTGAATTAGTTTCAGCTTTCGTAAGATAAGTTAAACAATTATTAAATAAATATCTGGTAATTTAAAAATATTAACTATTAATCTAAGTTTATTTTGTTCCGTCACGGAATAATTAATTCATTATTTTTATAATTGATTATGAACAAAAATGAATTCTTTGATTTTTGAAAATCTCGGTACGTAACAAGTTCTGTAGAAGGCAATGCGATCGACTTGCGATGAGAGCGAGGTGAAGATTGACTTTCCTGTTGCGGCCTTGCCTCTCGAAGAATAACGATATCTATCAAAGGAAACGATTATAGAAAAGATTAGCTAGAAATACCTTCCTTAAGATCAAATCGAAAGCGTCAGAAAATTGTTTGCTCCGTGTTTTCAACTTTTCCATTTTGCCTTATCTTTGTTTGTTTGTTTCTTTCATGGGAAATTTATACTGATTTGTTATCTATTTATTATTTATTATCGAGATTTATTACATATTTGTATATTATTATGTCTAAAATATAATGTCATGTTTTGCTGAATATTATTATCATTAACTTATAAATGAGGAGACAACAAAAAGCGAAGAGCTTATTAAAAAAGTGAATATTTAAAAGTGCAACAATTACTCACAAAAATAATGATTAAAAAGTTATAATACAAGTTGCAGCACGAGTAACAAACTACGTAAATTCGCTGAATTAAATCTCCTTTTAACTAATGAATTTTGTACACGTGGCATGTCATAACTATTAAACTTTTAAACGCGATGCCATTAAATGCATTTAAATGTTGCAAAAGAAAAACTGCTGCATTGCAAGAAAACGTTTCTTTAGGATACGATAAACAAAAATGCTTGTCTAGTGAAATATTTTTCTCATACCACTATAAACGTTCCCAGTACTGTTAGCGTTTTGCAGCTGGTGGCTATACAGTCGCCTCCAGTTACGAGAGGGTTAAGTATAGGTTAATATGGCGAATAAATGTGTCACGATTTTTCATTTGTCGTGCTCGCCCCATGAATGATAAACAAGTCGGTACATATTTAAAACAGAGTCTTGTTCCATGATATTCTGAAACGAAACGGGACTATATAGAACGAGAGTCACGCAATATGATTAGGTCATATCTTTCTTATGATTAATAATACAAGAAGAACTTGAAATGCACTTGCAAAATGCAATTGTACGTTTTTCTTTTTCAATTTAAACCATGTGTTTTTTTTTTTGTGAAACAATTCTATACGTTATTCGAACAATATATGGGGTATTCCAAATGAGTGATACATATAATGAAACGATTTAGCAAAATACGTGAGTATCTTATGATCGATGTATAGAGAATTTTTTTAAACAAATGAAATACATAATCGAAAAATTATTAAAATGTATTATGAGATATTAGTATTTTACTGTTTCAACTTTTTTTTACGTATAGTATATGCCGTTTATTTAAGAACAATTCAAGTGTCTCGGAAAGTTTTTAATTTTCGACTGTCTTACTTTCGTACTTCTTATACGCTAAACAATATGGAGAATTGATTTATGTAAATAGACACATAATTCCATTTTAAAAGAAACAGTTACACTCTGCAGATTCATCATTCTACTAATAAACAAATATTATAATGAGTTAAGAATTATTATACGGTTTAACTTGTTCCTTTATCACTTTTTTCTATTGCCTTGCTACATAGAAAGAACATTTTCTCGTTACTTTTCCTCTCAAATAATTTGAAGCTCGAATCTGGTAAGGTAAACACTCTAGAACGCCATCCATTATCTTCCAAGTAATATAGAAAAGTTCATACTCAGATTGATCATGTAACTTAATCATCAAAATTTCTTTTAATGGAAATTGCTTTCTATCCTCGCTCATTTTTTGGGACTATACAGGGTGTTCGGCCATGCCTGGGAAAAATTTTAATGGGAGATTCTAGAGGCCAAAGTAAGATAAAAATAAAGAATACCAATTTCTTGATGGAGGCTTCGTTAAAAAGTTATTAACGTTTAAAGTTCTGCCCGTAATGAATTTTTTTCTCGAAAGTGGGTAGGATTTCGGGGGTATGTCTATTGACCAAAAATGATTGTAATTGACCCCCGCAACCGAAAATAATTTTTCAAAAATGATTTGAAACGTTTCAATTTCGTCGAAGGGCACCTAAACCTGTCGATTTTTCTTAAAAATTCGTTTTTGATTTTTAGTAATTTTGTTTGATGCCCCACAGAAAAGTTGTCTAACACTTATTTGTAGGTATCGACGAGCTCTACTTTAGAAAAAAGTTTAATTCAAATATATTCACTATTGTAGGAGTTATGGTCGTTTGAAAATTGGACCATTTTTATGTGTGTTTTTCTCACTTTACGGGGTCAAGGAACAACATTGTCAATATTGTTAAAATTTCTACATATTCTTCACCAAAATACGCGTTGTTTGCATTTCGAAACATTAAAATCTTCCAATCCGTTCAGGAGTTATGACATTTTAAAGATTCGCATGAAATTTCAGGGAAGCAGCATTTCTGGCCTCACGTTAGATTTTCGGTAAAGAATTTTTTTCTCGAAAATGCGTAGGATTTCGGGGTATGTGCATTCACTAAAAATGATTGTAATTGAACCCTGCAACAAAAAAAAACAAAATGATTTGAAATTTTTCAATTTAATTTTTTAATTACTTTTTAGCGAAGCCTCCATCAACAAATTAGTATTTGTGATTTTCGTCTTATTTTGGCCTCTAGAATCTCCCATTAAAATTTTTCCCAGGGGTAGCCGAACACCCTGTATAAATCGTTAAATATTCACCCTTTCGGGTTTAGAATAGTACCGTCGCCCATAGGCTTTACGTTGCCTTACGTTTATCAAAAAATTGGTTGTATGTAGTAAGATCAGACTCAAGTTCTCTTTTGAATTATAAAGTAACCTTATAGAATCTACGAATTTGGCATAAATTCTATTACGACAATTTTGATAATCACTCTTGGTTCCCGCATCGCCACTGCGTCAACACCGACCAACAAATTGGTAACTTTTAATATTTTATTACTGTTCGTGACAAAATACATTGTAAATTTATATACGAAAACTTGAATAAACAATATAGAATTCTATTCATTTAATAAGCGAATAAATCACTTAATAACTCATTGTCTAATTTGGAAAATCTCGCATATCATAATATACCAATTAGTAATTTAATGTTACGAGGCCGACTAACAGTTTCCTGGGGTTCTATAATGTTGCATCATGTTCGTTCACACGTCTATAAATATCCAAATACGAATTTTTGTAGCCTAGTGGCTCCTCTATCTATTCGATCGAAATCGACGATCCTGTCGACGATTCGTCGAATATAACGATCCTGTGGTTCTTTGATTTCATATTAGGTTTGTTTGCATTCTACTGTGTCGTGATTTTGCATCAAGTTTGTCTATGAATTTTTCATTTGGAACAAATTCGTCTACGCGTGTTACAACTTTCTAGCGGCTCTCTCTCTCTCTTATTCTAATAGGTCCTCGAGTTTGCATTGGATTCCATCCTAGAAACTTCCTAATATTGCATCAAGTTCGATCTCGCTATCAATAATCCTAACGACTCACCGATTACGCATCGGGTTAATTCATGTACCTGACTAACAAACTGAAATCATATTACTTTGGAAATTTTTCTCTCTCTCTCTCTCTCTTGTCGTTCTCATGCGTTACTCAAGACCCTGGCTCATAACAGCCCAATTATAAAAGACAAGATACGATCACATTGCGTGACTCACCTTTATATCAATGGTTTATGTGCCCAAAATTTTAGGTAAAGAATTTTCGTCAGGTTGAATTTAATTCATTCACAATTAAATTGCTTTTATTGATTTCAATTGATTGCACTTTTTATTCGTTGAATATAACTAATTGTTTGTAGAAAATGTTTGATCGAATTAAGCACTTAAAAAACTCTGACACCCGTAAATAAGTGATATACAATTTTTACATAAGTACGTAAATAATATATAAAATTTAAAAATGGGAGCATTTATTAAACAAGATAAATGAAACTGTTTTTAAAACGATTCAAGAAAAACATGTTCCTGTGGTTGCCATAATCCGACGATCAGTATTTTAATAAAAAGAAATGTTTCTATAATTCACATTTTTCTACATTAAAAGGGTTCTTCTACGTCTCTAGAAATTGCATCTGCAATTTTGGAAAATACTATTTATGGCGTATCGGCATCGTGGTGGAAATAAATAGTTGGTTCAAGTTGTTAGGTGTATAGCACACCTCTGCGAATATAACACACTATTGCATATAGATTACGAATTCTATCAATCCACCAATTACAGAAACACTATTTCATTCAATCAATTCGTTGCCGCTCTACTGGCTCAACAATAAATATTATGTTTTCTGTTTCAGTGCTTGGCAGTTGTCGAAGCCAATATTGTGGACATGAGAGATTAATGGAGTGTAGTAGGCCCTTCGAACGAACCAACGATGAATTCAATTTACCAATGAAAAAGGAGGAACTGCTAAAAATGTGCTCGTAAGTTTTCCCTAGTTCGTATATTTATCGGATCTTTCAGCTTCATCGATAGCCATTGGTATGAATATATTTCACCTATTATTTCAAGGTGCACACTTCGATTACAGTATTGAGAGAATTTCTAGAGTGGGTGATCAAATTATTAGTTATACATACTAAAGAGCACATTTTGATCATTTTGGAGTTATCTTACATATACAGGGTGTTCGACCAACCCTGTGTAAAATTTTAATGGGAGATTCTAGGGGACAAAATAAGACGAAAATCAAGAACACCAATTTCTTGATCGAGGCTTCGTTAAAAAGTTATTAACGTTTAAAGTTCCGCTTGTAGAACGCCAATTTGCGAACAGCTGCGTACGCGCGATAGTGGTTCTCACCCAGAAAACTGTAAGGCTGTCGATGAGTCAGTAAATAGAGCCTCTCATGCTAAGTGAGAACCACTATCACGCGCACGCAGCTGTTCGCAGATTGCCGTTCTACGGACGCAACTTGAAACGTTACTAACTTCTAAACGAAGCCTCGATTAATAAATTAGTATTCTTGATTTTTGTCTTATTTTGGCTCCTAAAGTCTCCCATTAAAATTTTTCCCAGGGATAGTCGAACACCCTGTATATTAAAAGAGCCAATATATGAACTATCTAATGCATTTTTAGATAAAATAGGTATTATTTATAATTTAAAAAAACCTTATCTGTTGAATAACATTTATTTGAGTAAAATCAGAAATCATATATTTTTAAAAACATGTCCTATTATTTACAAGAACCTTCCTCAACGTAAATCACATACAGTTTGAATCCTTTTTGTCAAATTTTGAAGACATTGCTTGACGTTAATTGCCTAATATTTTCAATTCCTCAATAAAATTAGTTTTTCTTTTAGTAACAGTTTCATTAGCGATTTTATGTTTTAGAATCTTTTGTGTACTTTTTTAATGGAGAAAATTTAGTGTTTTGCCTTGGCAAAGTAATTATAACTTCATAGAAAATATCTGTTCTATCAATTTTTAAATGTACTTTTAACATTTGTAAATAATAATTTCACTTTTTACTGTGGGTACGTAATAGAAACTTTTTGTAACGAGACGACCTTTTTTTTATATTTTTATACTTTAAAACGAATACTAGTGGGTAGTTGCCAAAGTTTCGTGTTCAATTCTTTTAACCAAGGACAAAGGAAAATATCTGTCTCATTATTTGCTCTACTGAAGTTGTTTCAATGTTTTAACAGTATATTTGTCGAATAAATATGCGGCTGAAAATAATTAGAGAGTCGTCTACTCGAATGAATTACTGCAGTACTATTTACATATGATAGTTGAAAAATTCGTTTAAGGTGTACAACATCTCATTAGTACTGAATATATGTAGCTTCAAAAGCGAATTCAGCGCATCGAAATAATAAATAAAATGTATTTAAACATGGGTCCAAAACGACTATACTTTCGAGTTACAGGCTTTGTTTTGTATTTCAATCGAATAGGAGTATGTTGTCATAAATATTATTCAAAATTGTTATTATCTCAAAGGAAAGATGCTTAAATGTTTTCAAAATTTTTGTAATGTCAATGATTTTAAAGTAATTTCATAAAAATGCAATTTTAAGTGATTTCGATTTTAAAAATGTATAATACATTATTAATTCCTTAAAAATTCTTTATTTTAAAACCTGCATCAGATATGATATAAAAATATAAAAGCATTTATTTTTTAATAAAATACATATATGCTTCAAACGAGTTTGTTTTTAATTTTCTTTAAAACAGAAGCGAACACGCGATCACGGTAAGAGCAATTTATGACTAAATAATACGCAGGTTCAATAATTTTACGTAAACCGAAATGAATGTGATCGTATTGAATACGGAGCAATGTGATCAATGTAATCGAAACGAGGGCGGAATTTGAGCGAATCGAGGGTGGAATTTGATCTAAACAAGAGCGGACCGATAGTCCGAATAGATTTTTTAGGTGTAAAACAGCGTGAAGAAATTGATTTATATTAAAAAAAAAAGATTAAAAAACAAACAATAAACAAACAAACATGATTCTATTTAAAAAAAAAAACAATGAAATTGCACGAAAAGAGAAAATAATGTCACAGGAAATTAGATATTAATAAACAATTAAACTTTTTCTTGTTAATTATTAAATTCAGGACAAACAAAATATAACATTTTTTTTTTAAGAATTTAGTTTTCCTTCAAATTATAACATATAATGTTCAGCACTTTACTTAAATAATTGGTATGATTAATACCGTTCTTTTCTCAAAGGATTCTGTTTTTCTATCCGCATTGCGGAAACGTAAGTTTTTCACTGTAAAGTGGAAAGTTAGGGAGAGTTTTTGATCGAGCCAATGTTGAATTTCAATAGAGAACTCGAACGTTCTTGCTTACTCAGTGTCATTAGAGTTTCGATGGTTTCGGAACTGCCCGGTTTTCTGAGTCGATTGTACTGATAATTAGATCAATCGACGAAACTTTAATGGGAAGTAAATTTTTGTTAAACGCGTACCGCTCTAGTTTTATTGACTATTCGTTCGTTTTCTTGATCGAGGAACTTGGTAAACGAGTTGAAAGGTTGAAAGAGAATTCAAATAAGCCCACTTGCTAATTTGTAGAAAGTTTAAGGAAGGGTGTATTCGAGATTTCTTTAGGGTTTTAATTAGTCTTCTAGATAGTTATATTTAGTTGATTTTTCAAAACTATGATGATAAACTATTGACATCGATTAATCTAATTGGAAATTTGAAAGTTGTCCCAAGCTATTGACGTTAACCCATGATCCAACGTGACTCTGATTTCACATTTCCATTATCTATGTTTTTGAAGTCTGATTTAACCTTATTGTCAATACATATGTATTAATTGTGGTTTTTAAGCAATACATACGATCAATCATTATACAACAAATATTTTACAATATCTCACACCAGTGTAGATATAGGTGAAAATTTGCGTTTATTAAAATTGACTTTTCAGTTTATATCTCATTATAAGTGTTTATCAATAGTCATATTGTATAATATTTTTCAGAAACCAAACATAATTTGAGTTATACAGGGTCAACGTTTTAACTATTTTGTTTTGATCCTCTTCAGAAACAGTATAGAAAATTAATTTAAAAAAACATTATAGTATAAAGATGAATCTAATAAAACATGTTTAACATAACATTACCATTTATGATTAATAACTTTCTATAATCTATTATTATTTATATAAACATGCTCACTTGTTCGTACATTTTTCTTTATGTTATATCGTATTGTACTTTTAGATTAATTATCGATATTGTTTTTAGAAGAGAACCCAAACAAAGTGGTTGAAACGTTAAGGTTTGGAATTTATTTGCCAATAATTTTACGATCAGGAATGAGAATGAAGCATTTATTTAAACATTAAATTGATGTAAAATTGGATATTCATACATATATTTGTGTTGAGGATGGAATTGTTATTAATATGGCGAGACAAATTGTTACAAATATCATTTGAAAAGATTTCATCATCTTTTACAAAGCTATCTACTTTAAAAAAGATTCAATGACTAGCAAAAGAACGCTGGGAAATATTTTTTAAAATCAATCGATGGATGTTTAATTTTGCTATAATAACTATTCATCCGTTTGCAGAGGTGCTCTTTGGTTTATTTATACAATTTCTCCAAGTTGTTTTTAAAAATGCCAAACGCAAATCCATTCAGGAAATACGAGCTGTTTATTTTGAAACGAAGCATCCGAAAGTTAATAAAATGCAATAAAAATTGTAAATTTGAAAAAGTTTAATTGGACTGATAATTTAATCGATCGACGAAACCATAACAGGAGGTGAATTTTCATTTTATGTTGACGTTTTAATATTTTTATTAATATTTATACTATTTATAATACAGAATTATGTCATAATTTTTAATTTCTGCCTCCTGGGGAACAGTTCTGCAGTTATTCCAAACGGAGCTTCGTACATTATAACAGAAACCAATCACGTCTAAAACTTCGCAGGAACCACACAAAAGAACGTTATGCAACTCGTTAAAATCCAAAACAAGATAATCCTTGGCATTGATCTGCCTAATGGAAACATCTTAAAAGAACCTCCTGTTAATGCAACCTCCTTAACGAAAATCTAATGTGAGGTCTGAAATGGTCCCCCGAAATTTTATGTGCATCTTTGAAACATCATAACTTCTGAACTGATTGGACGATTTTAATGTTTCAAATGGCAAACAACGCGTATTTAGGCGAAGAAAATGTAGAAATCGCAAAAATATTCGAAAAGTTTATCCTTAACCCCCAAAATGAGAAAAACCCCGTAAAAATGGTCCAATTTTAAACAGCCATAACTCCTACAATAGTGAATATATTTCAATGAAACTTTTTACTGAAGTAGAGCTCGTGGATACCTACAAAAAAGTATTAGACAACTTTTCTGTAGAGCGTTAAACAAATTTATTAAAAATGAAAAACAAATTGTTAAGACAAATCGACAAGGGGATGCCTAAATTTTTCGGCGAAAAAAAAATTTCAAATCGTCTGGAAAAATTATTTTCGGTTGCAGGGGTCAATTACAATCAGTTTTGGTCATTAGACATACCCTCGAAATCCTACCCACTTTTTAGAAAAAAATTCAGTACGGGTGGAAATTTAAACGTTAATAACTTTTTAACGAAGCATCCATCAACAAATTAGTATTCTTGATTTTCGTCTTAGTTTGGCCTCTAGAATCGGATTACTTGATAAATTATGAAGACTCTCTTGGCAGCACAGCACCCAATCACATACCCTCAACGTCCCGCAATTCTTAGTGCAGTCGCTAATAACCTTTATAGTTGATGCAACTTTAAACTTTCAATTAAAAAAAAAATGTTGACGAACCTGATGTGAAATCAAGGAGCTGCAGGCAATGTTAGTTGATCTTATAATATTAAATTATTAATTTAGTACATGTCGAGTGGTAAAATTGTATCTGTAGGAACGTTCGATTATGATATAC